CTTTTATCTTGCACAGCGGATTTGTCAAAAGGTAGTGTTTATGTATGTAGATTTACTAATCTATACTGAATACACTCTGTCGTGTCTGTGTTGTAAAAACAACGTCCTTCTTTCAAAAGATTAACTGCCAATACATTGATTGATTGCCCATTATTGGCTAACTAAATTACTTTTTTTAAAGAATGGCGGACATTATGCAATTAGTTGCCAGGTGTGCTATCTTGGGTGACCAATGAGACTATATACCAATGTGAAATACCTGAAACGATATATCACTTTTTGGTATATTAGACTGTTAAAAGACACATCTCTTGGAACAGCTGCAGATGAATGGCATATCACTCGTTTTTGTGGATATTGATGATACATTCTTCGAACAAGGTAATAGCATGACATTGTTCCTATAACTTGAATCTGTTTTAATTGTAATATTTGCATTTTGTTTTTATTCATTTGTCGTAGCATTCAACAGAATCATTGTTTTCGCCTTGAAGTGTAATGAGACAGACAACATACACTAGGGCGTGTGTGCGAATTATGATTCACACTGGCAAACTATAAAATGTCTAGATATTACAGTTCTGTTATAAATCCACTATAACTATCAGCAGATCGCCTGCTTTTTTATTAAGTTTCAAAATTCATACAAGTATGATAATAAACTAATTAGGATTATAAGACCAAATAAAAGACGTATATTGACTAATATCTACATACTGGTGAGTGGACATTAACCACGTAAATGTAGCAAGAAATTTATCGCGCAGTATTGTTACTTCGACCCCCACCTCGCTTCCGTGGAAGACATCGTTATGTTACAAGTTGTGTCATGCAAAATCCTTTTGGTGATGATTCCAATACATATTTAACTACGAGTAGAAAGTAGTTTTGATTGACCAACTTGATGAAAACAAACCATAATCTCACTAATTCTAACAGACTTTAGCCCGTGACTTCACGATTTTCTAAAATGGCGGCGCCCTGTCGGGAACATCCGCCAGTCTGAGGATAAATGCTATTTCAATTTAGGTTTGTTTTCACCGAGTTACAAAATCAAAGCTATTTTTTTACTGGTAGTAAAATATGTATTTGATTGATGGCCAATAGGATTTTGCATGACATAGCTTGTAACATTACAATTTCTCTCGTGGAAGCGAGGTGGGTGTCAATATAATACTACTTACAATATTATTGTTACTTCGACCACAACCTCGCGTCCGAGGAAGAAATCGTTATGTTACAAGTTGTGTCATGGAAAATCTTCTTGGTCATCAATCATATACATATTTTACTACAACTAGTAAGTAGTTTTATTTCTTTAACTTCCGTGAAGCGATCTGAACACAAGTAAGACATCGTTCCAGGCTTCCACAACGCTCGCTTCGCACTCACAAACATAACCCATTTAGCACGAACTGCGGGGTCCTGTGGAAATCTGTGCAAGGTGACACCATCGCCCGACCCCTGGGAGCAATTGACGACGACGGAACGATTCGGCATGTCTTTGTTGATGTCGAGAAATCATCAAAATGACGACCTTGCTACACATTTTATGTACAACTAACTGAAAATCGTTCCCTCACATGACGTCACTTCCGTTTCGCTGGCGACAGGGTTACGTAACCTGTTTGTGGTTTCGTTGGCGGGCGAGAGTGAAGCAGGCGACTTTTTGGCAACTTTTAATCGCTCGGTATTGATTAATCACAAGTTTTTAAAGAATGAATTTGGTGTTCTGCACAAGACTAACCACACATCTTTCATATGTAATGGTTAAAAGAATACAAAAACCCAGTTTATTTGTCCTTTAATGCCAAACAGCTGCGCGTGTTGCTCACAATAAGATACACAGTCAAACCGTCTAATTGTTGATATATTCAGGACAGTATTTAAATGGAAAAATCAGTCATTTTATCTTTTGGCTAAAGAGTGTTAAATTCTTACAAAGAAGCCGAGAACTTTTATACAATTAATGGAAATTAGGTGAGATATATACTAATCAGCATACCAATGTCGCCTTTTTCCGACGACGCAAAATGCATAAAACAAGCAATGACGTCAACTAAAATGTTGTATTATTTTGAGCAATTTCATTACATTTGAAGATATAACTAGTACTCTGGTAATAACGATCCAAAATCAGTCAAAATACATCTACACAAACAGGAGAATATGGGAATCTAAGAACTAACTTATATATTGGATAGGGCCATCCAAATCGCTATTAAGTACTTTCACATGCAGTACGTTGTCATCGTTTGTGTGTGAGAAACTACCAAAGCGTATCCGCTCACATTTGGGAACTTTGAATTGGAATAGTTTGATTCACCATGAACAAAAAATAAGGAAATATAGCATCCGTATCCACAACAAATCCTCTCCAAGTGAACTGAGTTACATTGGCCTAGTGTTAAACATAACGGAGTTATGCCCCCTTATCATTATACGTGTATGACCTCTCTGTCGTAATTTGACGTCATAGAAGAAAATCCATTTTTGACATTTATTGCTAGTCATTGTTAATGATGAGCGTATAACGTTATGGATAACCACATAAACCCAATTCATATACAATTATGTCGTTCAGATATCAGGCTGTATTTTCTTCGCTCATACTTTCCGTAAAGATGCTAAATTAAAATGAAAATTAAATTAAATTAAAATAAAATGCGTAGCACAGTGCTTTTATCGGTGCGCGATAAAAGCAGAGAAATTTACTGTTTTTTAACGCATAACAAAAAAAATGGACAACATTTTCTCAAACTGCCGAGGTAGTTGCACTTATATTTATACCAACGGATAGGAAATTTAATATTGTAAACCAATAGTGAGTGCTTTCCGCAATCTGATTGGTTAATTACCCTTGTCGAATATTGTTCGACATACCTGAAATTGATGGCCTAATAACCGCACATTAATACGTTGGCACTAATACCGTACTATTTTCGCTGCATGAATTTGCATAATTGAGGAACATTACCACTTCAAATTCTTTCTCTGGGATTTTGATACAATCTTTGAAGACGACAAATTCTTGGAAGAATTATTCAAAGATGATGGTGTATACAATCACATGGCACATAATCATATGTGATCAAATGATAGTGAAGTAAAGACCCGGCTCCATCTTGTACACCGAGCGTCCCTCCACAATCCTGCTTTGCTAAGGTTGATGAGAATGGCCTGAGGGAAATAATTGATGGGTCATTATCGAAAGCAACTGAGAGAAACACAATTTTCTTCAGAGGTGTGCATCGTTTAACGTTTTGTAAACCAACCAAAAGGAAGTTACATGTTAGTTACCTCCCTTTCGCTAGACTGTCACACGGCTTCTAAACAGAATTATCAAAGGCATAAAAGCAAATATAGTTATTTTTTCTCAAAAACAGCTTTCAACATGATTTACATCTGATCTAACACTGAATGATAATATCATGATATACTAAAATAGCAAAAAATAAATACTAATCGGTAATAATTAAAAGGTACTAATGCAGTCTAGGAAATCCCACTGACACAAGCCCAAGCATATCAAAACAATTAAAAATGTTGACATCTTACCTTTTGTGTCCGGTTTCATCCTTCAAATTGTACAAATCCCAGATGAATCCCAATAATGAATCGTTCTTTCAACATCCGAAATCTGTCGTCGATATCCGCGATTCTGTTGGGTACACCTCACTTCAGTCACGATGCGTTGGCAAAAATTCACTGTCACAAATTATGAAAAACATATCCAAGAATGCCAAGTTGCCACACACATACACAAATCACTGCCTTCGCGCAACAGCCGTCATTCTGCTATCCCATGCCGGAATCGAGTTGAAAGTTTATAATCATACTGCACCGAATCCAGCAGTGTACGGAAGAGGTCGTACTCGGCCATTTTGCAGGGATCTGATCGCCAACGCGTCGATTCTCGTGCCGTTGCCACTGTTTCATCATCTTGGCCCTTTTCACACTTGTAAAGTTCTTCAATTGTATCCGTGATGGGAATGTTTCAGGGCATACAGAATTCTACCATAAATGTCAGCTTCGTTAATCGACAGTAGGCCTAACTTTACACGATCAAATCCATGTGGTCATCCTTGATTGGGCCAGTCTACGTTAGTTCAACAAGCTAAACGTCGTGTTCCTACCAAGGCATACACCGACGTTTAGCGTCCGAAGCCTATTTTATGAGGAGCACTTTCCCGGCGATTTTCAACGGGAACGTTTCTGACTCCAGAGACATTGAAAAACGAAGCATCGCATGTATATTGATACACGGATCGAAAGATAAATCGCTTAGGTACAAAATCCGATTGCTGTCTTACCTTGAAAAAAATTATTTAATATTCGACAACATTGTATTCATCACTACCCTCTACTTTCCACTTTCAGGTTCAGCCACTTTGCCTCGTGACGTCACGAGGTCGCGCGTACCACTTGGGTTGTTAAAACGGCGATCGGCAGGGAAACGAAACAAAGCATTTTAGGATACTTTTTAAGACAAATGCACGAACGGACTTGGTACTGGCGGGGAGTCGATTTGTGATTGCTTCAAATGACAGTAGTTGAAATATTAATGTAATTTTTTAAGATAAATAATGAAATAATACAAAATTACCAATGTTTGCTATTTATAATTTCCTTTTTGTCTGTGTACAGATATTGTTTTATAATGTTAAAACTAATTTCTACTGTTGTCTCACCAACGTTTTCCTTCCCTTTTTTCACATTGACTAAGTTTGTTTTAACTGTTATGATGAAGTGCTGTTGGTAAGTATACTTTATGTTCTTACCTGTATCTTTTTCAGAATATCCAAGCGTCTGCTACATTCCAAGTATGCACACACAGTGTTCAAATGTACACAGCATATAAAAGTTCCGTACAGAATTATAACAGCAACTGTTTACAAACTCTTCAACATCACAAATGAACATATCCACTTGGTTAAATACAACAAACTCCGTATAAATGGTCCTAAGTACACATACTTTTCAACTGAAACTTAACCACTTTATGCCATAACTTTTTCCACGTTGTAATTAATAACGTCTTGACAAGGACAGTTTGATCTGCAGTAGGTGCAACAATTACAAAGTGTACACGGACAGATGTCGTCCACTGTACACTGTCCACAAGAAATAATTCGTTTTGTGTCAGTATCCCCTTCGAACTGTTGCATCAGCCTCTCCCTGGAGCAAGACGATGTTACGTTGTTGACAATGTCTTTTATGTCGTCAACAGTATTTTTTCGTGACTTTGTGAAGTTGTCACATAATGCAATCGCATATCCTCTTCTCCCATCTCTGGCACACCGGCCTACGTCTTGCCAGTAACATAAGACAGACTTCGCACATCCGACATGGACAACAACGTCCACATCAGGAATATCCAGTCCCATACCAAGGGCGGTAGTGGCCATGTTTTGAATCTTTTGTCCCAGAAACATATGTATCGTCGCCTAACTGTACCCTCATTTGAGTGAAAATGTCTGAGACAGTGTCCACCTCTCTGCAAAACACCATAGTTTTCTTCGCAAGCTCTTGCTTGGTTCTAATGTGATCTATCAACCATTTCAGCGATTCAGTATGATTACGTATGCTAAGTTTCTTTATTTCAATGAAAATGTTTGGCCTGTCAGGTTTCTTGGACACAACTTTCGTGGTGCAAAAACTTCATAATGTCACTCTTAACCTTCGACGTTGTGGTAGCCGTTAGTGTCAGAACCGGAAATCTAGTATGCTTCTAAGTTCGTGAATAAGTCTGTAATCAGTTCGAAAATCCTCACCCCAATCCGAGATACAGTGAGCTTCATCAATTGCCAATAACTAAATTCGTTCTTGCCAAACATCACACAAAAACACATCCTTCCAAAACCTCTTAAAAGCCGTCTCGGGAGATGCTAACACCACTTGAAACTTTCCGTTTCTCACTCCGTCTACAACAGATTGTTCTATTGCCATTGTGTCCAACGGTGCAAGACTGGCAACTGAAATTCCATATTCCTTAATGTTTTCTGACATATCGTGCATAAGTGCAGTCAAATGTGAAATTATCAGGGTAATGCTCTCTTTCTCGGTAATCATAGGTGGTATAAACATACACAAAGTTTTCCCGTATCCCGTTGGCAAAAGTCCGAGAACGTTTTGACCATTCATGATATGCATGCCTATCTGCAGTTGTTCCCCTTTAGCACTAAAATTGATGCTGTACCGACACTAACACTGGTCAAACCTCGTCATCAGGCAGTTTACATCCATCCTTGGACTGAACATGGATAATGCTTGTGCCAACTCCGATTCGCTTTTTGAGTCAAGACCCGATGGTAAAGGATACATGCGATTTAGTTTAGAAAAAGTTCTACCTGGATCTTGTGGATCGGCGAAAGAAGTTTTGAGAACCCTAACGGATTCCACATTCACGCCAGTGAAAACTTCAAGAGGTCCTACTTTCTTATGTCCGAAGTGCTGGGCGCTGTTGGTGAATGTGAACAAGTATAAGCAGAGTTTGTCTAATTTTTGGGGACGAACCGCTCTATCAGGATATATTGGAACGAAACTTCCCAGAGAACAAGCAAAGGAACCATTACCAAGCACTAGTACAAGCGTCGATGCTTCTAAGGTAACACCCTATTTTTCAAGCTTTTTTCTTGCACTGCATTAATTAGTCGCACGGGAAAGTCTGTAACACTGACAATATACAGTGGTCACGTGATCTGCGCTTTCTGGCATCTGACAGACGGTCAGTTCCAATATGCATTCAAACATCCCCCTCCCCTTCTCCCCTTCACTGGGGCGGTGGGGTAGCCTAATGGTTAAAGCGTTGGCTCGTCACGCCGAAGACCCGGGTTCGAATCCCCACATGGGCACAATGTGTGAAGCCCATTTCTGGTGTCCCCCGCCGTGATGTTGCTGGAATATTGCTAAAAGCGGCGTAAAACCAAATTCAGTCAGTCAGTCAGTCTCCCCTTCACTGCTATCACAATCAACAGCTAGAGTGACCCTTGAACCCCAACAATCCGGACAACCGCAATAGGACCTTCCTCCCTCCCCCCACTTAATATTTATAAAGCACGTGCTGCGAATTTGGCAGTATTGATGTTCTCTACTTTAATTTGTTGTGTGGTATTTAGTTATACTTAACTAAATCACACAGTGGTGATTACATATTTACTCCTTACTTTACTAACAGGGCCTGCTTTTATCTTTAAAACCTTAAAGGTCACATACAACGTTAAACACAACTTTGCAGAATCTGATACCTTTCGGTATGGACCGAAACAAATCGTCAAAAATGCAAATTCAACTTATAAAGTTGAAAAACAACGCGATGAAAAAACCCGCGCGAAATCGGAGTTCAAACGATTCACTAACTTTCCCCCAGTTTTGGGGGGAATTCAAGTGGTTTCAACAGCTGGGATGCGCTCATAGCACGTGCGCAGCTAAATAGGTTCGCGCAGCTTGGAAGCGGGTTGACCGGTGAATACTCGGTAAAGGCTTTGGTGTGAGCTATTTTTCTAATATTTTGTTGATATCTCACAGGCGCGAGCTTTTTTATATGTTATGACAGTAAATTAACTGTTTATACAATTTCATTTGTCTATTTCACCACACGTTCTTCTTACCGAGTCACTTTCTCAGTTCGATACTTAAAGCAATGGCATTATTTAGAGTTGACAGAATTTCTAACTGTGATATAGATATGTCGTTGTCACAGACAAAACTCAATGTCTTGTTTTATTGACACCTGTGTGTCTGTCTGCCTGTCTGCTAATGACAATATTTAATACACAACTGCGATCACTGACCACATGCAATTTGAACTTAACACCTATCAGGCTATACACCATAAAAAATGCATTGATTTATAGCCCGAGTTCGGTCTCTGTCACATTATGTAATTACACAGACAGGCAGGTGTGATACTTGAACACATGACATGTTATGATGTCTTTTGATTGCAAAATGTTAAACACAAAAAATGAGAATGTATTTACAAGCCCCCACATCTCTATATATACACACACAGTGAGCCGTGAGGGCATCTGCAAATGAACCAGGCGTTACACTTGAGTGCACACCCACCCGCTCTGACTGGGTTCGGTATCCCGGCTGCTTCGTTTCTTGGGAAGTAAACCCAAGTACACAATATTGCACTTTTGATTTGCGATTGTACGCTTATAATTTTGTTTATATGTTTTTTCATAACCAGCAATTATTATTATATGTCATGAATAAGTGCTAACTGTGTTTTAATTATGTTTGATTTGTTGGTTGCATGTGACCTCTAAACAAGTAAAATCACTATGCTTAATTTGTAAATTGAAACCTTGTAGTAATTTATGAAGACAATCGGGTATGAAAGTCTGTAATGTATAGGGGAAACTATACTAGAGTCAAGTATGATAAACCTCGATCCTATTTAATAACACCGTTGCTTCCTTTTTGGTACTGTGATTAATTGAGTCAGATTCAATGAAATAATGCTTATTTTCATCATTATGAACAATAAATCACTTAGAAGTCAGGACCGGTTGCGCAGTGCAGTATTACATATCACATACTTCTTACAAATTCTTTAAAAGCATCATATATTAAAACGGAAATTTAGTTATTTAAATACAATCGATACTTCTTACAACCCTAGTCCCGCGAAGGTCCGGGTTAGAATGAACCTTCAGTAACACATGCTTGTCGTAAGAGGCGACTAACGGGATTATGTGGTCGGGCTCACTTGGCTTGGTTGACACGTCATCGGTTCCCAATTCCTCATATCGATGCTCATGCTGTTAATCACTGGATTGTCTGGTCCAGACTCGATTATTTACAGACCGCCACCATAAAGCTGAAATATTGTTAAGTCAAAGTAAACTCACTCATTCACTCTTACACCCCTACATACGGGATTATGGTACAGTTATATGATCCTTTAATTTCAGAAGTCAACTGCTGGCGCACGGAAGATCTTGTTCAGTAAAGGACCAACTAAGAGATCCCTTGGTGCCAAATGGGAATCAGTCATCTCTCACATTCGGAATCGAAAATATCGTAAGGCTATTTCTGGACTGTACAATGCCGCTCCCGGATGTAAGCAACAGTTTCATAAGTTGTGAAATCTCTCATCAGGAAGGAAGTGAGGTAATTATTGAAGAGTGACTTTCCCCTTACAAGTTACCTAACTTTGCCTTTTATTGAAGATTTTTCATGGGAGACAACGTTTGAACGTTTGCATGTCCTTGCACCTGTGATAGAAAACTTGCTGAAAGCCATCGCCACCACATCTTTAGGCGAGGATTCGTTATCAAGAGGAACTGAAAGGGTAGTGAACTTAAAACCCTTCGCTGGAACTGTATTAGCTGGGTTGTTATTCTCACGTGCCCCAAAGACATGCAGTTTCCTCCAGACTGTCTACTCAATCCAGCTCTGACGTGGCGGTTTGAAGCGAGAGTCCATAGACCAATTTAGCCACACGGGTTTGTGTCTCGGTAATAAGGGGACTCTGTCAGCTATTGACCAGCTCTGAGCAGAATTTGATTCTGCAGCAAAGAAATGTAAAGAGGATCTCGAACGACAGTTCAATGAAGATGCCAACCCTCTCCCTGTCGACAATGCCGAAGTTAACAGAGAACTCGCCCTTGCTATGTCGGCAAGCAAGAACATAGAACAGGAGGTGAACCCTTCTGACGATGATGGCGAAGACATTGTTTCACACAAGAGTGAGGCTGAACTTGAATCACTGGAAGACCCGGAAGAGGTGGATCCTGATGGTGAGGATGTTAATGTTATGGATGATGACTGGGACGAAGATGTAGATGCTGACACTGAAGTCATGGATGGCACGTCTGTTATGGATGTCGGAGGTGAACAATCTCCTGCAACACCACAAGCTGCTTCAGAGTCACTCCACCCGGGGTTCACTTTTTTGCTGGGACAATGTCAGGAAAAAGGTTACAACAGACATCCTACTGCGGATTCCGGCACTACCTACATCAACTTTGCTTTGGCCTACATGAGCGTAAACCGATTACCCAGTACTCACCTTGACATCACAGGAACAGACACAATATCGGCAGATGACATTCCCGTTGAATCGTTTATTCCATCAAAAGAACAATTCCATGAAGTAAGGCAGCGAATGAGGATGTTAGTTCAACACCTCGGGTGGTTCCAAACGAACTTCAGCGATTGCGTCGTGCAACATCTCCTTCAAGAGCACAAAGGAGTCTCCTGGTAAACCTTGGAATTTTTTAGGAAAATCCGAGTACAACCCAAGGGGCTATTGGCATCTATGAGCGTCTACTGCAATATGTACCCAATGTCAACAATAAACCTCTTCAAAAGCTGGTTTTTGGCGATGGTCTCAGTTGTGAATGGGGCTGTAGTGCCATCAAAGCCCGACTCAATGGTCTTGATGAATGGGCACGACTTGGGGGTCTAGAGCCATCAGCCCAAGAGTTTCACAAGGAGATGCTTCTTTTTACAAGATCACTTTGATGAATTCTTCAAAGGAGCAAGTGGAGGTGAAAAGGGAACGCTTTTCTACTTGAAAACCTTATGCAATTTCCGAAATGTGAAAGCAGACATTAGTGACAACTTCTCGCATTCCTGGGAGCTGATGTGTCACGTTGCCGGCCATGGAACTTTTAGGGATTGAGAACACCTCAGATCGTCCAGAAAACCCGCCAGTTGACATAGAGACGGAGTCCAAAGAAAAGAGGAAAGAATATATGGATGCAATATGCCAGAAAATAACGTCACACGTGTGGCATCAACTTAACACCGATGCACTGAAGGTAGAAGCAACGGGAATTGTACTGCTGCAATGAAGACTTGGACGAAGATTTCATTGGGTGCGAGAAGAGGGGACAGTGTCTAAAGGGGCAATGGTTTCACTACTCTTGTGCTGATGTGGATCCAGAAAATCTGCCAAACACCTAGTACTGCAGCAATGAGTGTCGAGATAACAGTGAAGGTCCTTATGCTCTTTGTTATTGCTCCAAGAATCTGGGAGAGGACGAACCAATGATCGGCTGTTCCGCGGAAATCAAATGTACACAAAAGGAATGGTACCACTGGAAGTGTGTTGGCTTAACTGCAGAAACGGTACCAAAAGGAGCCTGGTTCTGCTGTCAAGCATGCAGAGATTTGCAACCGAAGAGTGGCAAGAGGAAACGAAAGAAGCAGAAGACTGAAGAACCTGCAACTTCGAGTCGGCCAGATTCCAAGTATAAATACAACATCGTCGTACTCTGGAGTGGGTT